CAGGAAGCAACAGTAAATACTGCAGCCCTCACTTATAATTCCAGGGGGAAATCCAATTAATTCATTTGTACGGTAGAACATAGATCAACAGATAAAAATATGTGTTATATAAATGTGTGAGCGCATGAATAGATGTTTAAACTCCAGCTAATTAACCTGATAAAGCACAAGACATACAACAGGCGATGGCTGCCAATATGGGGCGCAGCAGAAGGAAACAGTGCTCATTGTGGGGAATAGTTTGGGGACCTGATATGACATTTCTCACTGCACACTGCTCACTCCACACTGCCTACTGTTCATTCCTCACTGCTCACTCTCAGCCTTCACTGTTACTCTATACTTCTCATTCCTCACTATGTACTCTCACTCCATGCTGTTCACTCCTCACTCCACATTCCTCTCTCACTCCATACTATATATTTTCACTCCACAGGGCTCACTCCTCATTTGCCACAGCTCACTCCTCACTCTCACTCCACACTGCTTATTCTTCATACTCAATCCACACTGCTCACTCCTCAGTGCTCATTCTAACTCCTCACTGCTCACTCCTCACTCCAGTCTTCACTCCTCACTCCCTCCTGCTCATTCCTTACTCCACATATTTCACTCCTCATTCCCTGCTGTTCACTCTTCACTGCTCCTTTGCACTCCACAGTCTTCACTCTTCACTGCTCACTCCTCACTAGACACTCTCACTTCACACTCATCACTCCTTACTGCTCACTCCACACTCATCACTCCACACTGCTCACTGTGGCTGTTTGGAACCAGCAGTCTCTGTGCTGCTTCTTTAACTGCCCAGGACAGATTTTAATGACATTAATAACTCAGATATTAAATAAATCTAAATTAAATCAAATCCTCCCAAAAGAACGACTGACAAGGAAGGAGAAGCTACGATTTTTATTGTATATTTTTATTATTAATAAAAACGGCTTACAATTTTTAAAACACTTATTATAACTCATCGATAATCTTCAGAGTTTATTGATCTCGGGGGGCAGAGAATGTATGAGAGGGAAGGCCGCCATTGTGTTGAATGCACGGCTAGGGGGGGGGGTCACTTGCCTGCTGAAGAAGGTGCTGGAGTCGCCTCTGTTGTACGAGTCACTCTGCTTGCGGGTCAGTGGTTTCTTGGGGGGGGCTCTGCTGCCGGGGGCCGAGATGTCGATGTTGCTCTTGCTGAGACGCTTGCTGGCGCTCAGGCTACAGCTGGGCTCTCCACGTGCAGGGGGCTCATCCTGCAGGTTGAGGGTAGGGGGCACGAAGAGAGCCGCTGTTAGCGACACATGTGCACGCCGGCTAACACCAGCAGGGGTCTGGATGCGTACTGAGGGCGTACTGCTCAGGATATACTGAGGGCGGCGGCACGGAAAGAAGGATCTTTATAAAGCACCAAAACCCTATCTGTGACTCACGCTTCCTGTTTCCTGTTTCCCGCTTACAAACGCGGGACGGGCGAGTGCCTTGTCCGATCGATGGAGGGAGGTATTGGAGTGAGTGTGGCAGAGCCCCTCCCTCACCTTCAGGCTCTCCATGCTGTTGTTCCTGCTGACGTCACTGGGACTGCCGTGTCGCTGGCTGCTGAAGCAGAGAGCGTCGAAGCACAGGACCCCCCCAACACAGTCGGCCATCAGACACACCTAGTGCAAGGGTGGGGGTGGAAGAGCACAGTTCAAGCACACAAACTGGGGGCGGGGAGGGATCCCACAGGGCAAGCCTTCTGGTCTCAGCTAACACCCGGGTAGAGAGGAGAACAGTTTGCTGCTGGGATGGTTTCTGCTGGGGTTCGCCGTAATGCACCACAGCGCGAGGGTGAACCTGCATCTCAGTGGGCTTCAGGGCAACAGGAAGCAGTATGGAAACCAGGCAAGATCAAGTGGGTTCAACCTCCCGCTGCCTTCTTTAGCCCCAGAGAAACATTAGCAGGTGCTGAAAATGGATGGATGGATGGATGGATGGACGAACGAGAGATGGATAGGTTCAGCTGCATTAGTTTTTTTATTAAAAGACCTCAGTGACTGTAAAATCGCTGTGACTGAAGCGAGGAAGCAATGTGTGGCAAAGTGGCTGCGCTCAGAGCCAGACATACGTCACTTTGGAGTAAAACAGCGGCTAAATGAATAAGCGTAATACAACCTTGGGTGCTGACGCACGACTCTCATCGGAGGGTAAATCGGTGCCCCCCTCCCCACAAGCCCACACTGCCCCACGTTTTTAAAAGTCAAGCTCCCAGATGTAAACCTTTAGCAGTATGAGCGCAGTCTTCCTGTTCACCCCCGGTGCCCCTTGGCCGGGCCGATCAATACCAAGGCCTTAGCGGCACTGTACAGGCCTGGCTGCCTGCCAAGGCTGAAATGAACATGCGGCCTCAGCCGTCTGACTGGAGCCGCCACTCGCGGCTTCGGCTGAAACAGGTGTCAGAAACACATGTACTGGAGAATAACAATCAGTGCATTACACACACACACACACACACACACACACACACACACACACGACTAGGTATCTATATCTTTGTGGGGACTCTCCATTCTTTTCTATGGCGTAAACCCTTATCCCAATACTGACAACCTACCCAGCCCTAACCTTGACCATAAGCAAGCAGACAAAACACTTATGACATTTTTAGTTTTTGGTTTGCAGTCACTTATTTTTAATGTCGGCGCCTCACCTGGCCAGAGAAGCCCTGCCCTTCCTCTGACTGCAGGAAGGCCTGGTAGATCTGGTTGGCACGGGCGATGATGGTGGCCACGGCATCCTGGTAGCGGGGCGAGGCGATGGCCAGTAGGGGCAGCGCAGCCAGGGGGAGGTGGTCCACACTGCTGGAGACACAGCTCTCATCGTAGCTGTATGGGTTCAGGCTGGGGGGATGCAAGGACATTGGGATAGTACACAAAATCCCAGAATGCACAGGGACACGGCCCAAACCTGGCTGAGAACGGCAGTGAAGGACTGATTACCCACAATGCAGCAGCCAGCGAGTAAGGCTCAGTGTAATAGATTAGGCAGGGATTCGGTTCTGCAGCACTGTGGGAGGCCGTCTGTGGCCGGTGCTAGATTTATTAGTGTAGCAAACAGATCTGGGACAATGCAGACCGAGACGGGTTATGATGTTTACACCCTGCTGAGGCTGGATCACTGTGGAGTGAATTCACACACGCTTGCACACACACACACACACACACACACACACACACACACACACACTCAAAAATGCGTTGTCTTTCACACCCACAGACTTCTGGGGCATCACAAACCCAGGGTTAAATGCTCTTTGCAGACAAACCCTATTTGATTGGTTGCCTAGATGAGGAAGGCAAACGTCCCTGTGAAGGCAGGGCTGAAAACATCAGGAATGCTGAACACAGTAAGATCTGTAATGATGATGAGGAGGATACTGGAGCAGCGCGAAGCAAACGGCCCTGACTGCCTTAGCCTGCGTTTCCCAGGCCTGTGCCGCTCTCCCCTAAGGATCCGGTATGGCCCGCCCCCGTATGAGGTGCACCAATTACTTTTTCCTTCCATTACTTTGAAAACAACTCGGCATTTGAGGGTCACGCGGCCTCGCTGCCCCCCACCAAGGTACAGGCACAGGAGTCATGCTGGCAGAGAGCCAGGGAAGGGGGGGCCACCCCCATGGTTGGAAAACGCCGGAAAGTACCCTACAAGCACCATACAAGAGGCTGTAGGAAAAGTCCAGACATGAAGGGCTGCTGACTCCCGATACACTTCAGGCAGCTGGTTTCCCGACACGGACCGAGGACGACACATCCTGACGAAACACAATCGATGGCAAGTAACTATCAGGCAGAGAGGGTCCCCGTAAGGGCTCTTCACTTCAGGAGGAGGGTGTCCCTCTATCACAACTGAGACCAGCCCGTATCTGGCTGTGTTTCGACTCGGCAGCCATCAGCTAAAGCCTCTACCTGCCAAACTGGGGCCCAACTGCAGATGCTGAGGCTGTCGCCATGGAGAAGCTGCCCGCCTCCCGCCCAGCCCCGAGCCGAGCCCCATAAGCGTGACGGCAAGGCTGGAACACGGCGTAAGAAAGCAGGTCACGGAAACCTCCCGAGTGTCGGGCTGCTCTGTCCTCCATAAACGGCTCCCGTCATCTGTGGCGGTTTAGAGCTCAGCGTTTCAGCTGGTTGAGGAGTACTGCGACTCCTGCTCACTGGAAGGTGGCAAAGAATCCTTCGACACACCATCCGAAAGGATTCACCCCCTCATTAGCATTAGCCACTCACAAGCGTGTCTGTGACGTAATGCTTTTGTTGCTGGGGCCTGGCGGGGGGGGGGGCACTGAGATGCAGACTGGTGCCTGCAGTAATGTGGGGGGTGCAGGGATGTGGAGGCAGGGCCCCCACCTATGTCTGCCGGCGTTGGACCGTTGGGGCTCACCAAAGAGCTTTGAAGATATCAAAGCCTGGTTTGGGGGGGGGGCAGAGATCCTCATCACACAGAGCTGGGCTGAGATATGAAAGGCTCACCTGTGGGGGTCACACTCTGATAAAACTCATCAAAAATGTATATTTAACTGGTTTTGACTTCAAAAAGAACAGAAGAGCCGCACCACCAAAGGCACGAGAACGAGGCTAAAACTTCGGACTCGGGACGCGCCCCCCCGTCCCCCCGACTCACTGTGAGACCAGGGAGAAGGCCTCGGCGCAGGCGGCTGGCCCCGCCACCAGCCTGACAGTCACGTGGTCCGCGGCCGCCTGGAAGTGGGCCCTGGCCACCCTCTCCAGCACGCCGGCCAGCGTGCCCGTGTCGCCCGCCTTGGAGCCCAGGCTGCTGCCCGCCGTGTCCAGGATGTTCCCACCGTGGATCACCAGCAGCAGCACGTGAGTCTTGCATTTCTTCTGGGGGGGGGGGCATGTACAGAGGGTAAGAACAGTATTCTGACAGTATGTGTGCCAAATTTTATAAAATATGTAATGTTAATATTTCACAAAATCTCAAGCAGGTGTTGCTGTTGCAGTTTTTAACTAAAGTGGTTTGGATGTTTACCTCCAGATCCTCCAGACCGTCGATGCTGCCCTGGGGGGCACAGCGGGGCCGGCCCAGACGGTACAGGGCATCTGGGTGGGACAAAGAGCAGGGGGCAGGGCAGAAGGTAAAAAGGTGTTAGCATGACAGCTTGGCACCAATAGCCACTGATAATTCCTCCAGATCCATCACAAGTAGCACTTCCAGGGTGCAGGAACCTGCGGCTATCGATCCAGAAATTCCTTCACATTGATCCGAGGATCCTGATCACATGTTCCAGGAAAGAAGAGCTTTACACAGAGGACACATCACCCACCTCCCGGCAAAATGGGTTATAATGCAAGGCTGACAGGGAGCAGAGTGGCGGTTACTGGGTGCTGGGTGGTGGCAGCGGCCAGCCTACACCATCGGGGGGCGGCTGCTCGGGTCTGCCTACACCATCGGGGGGCGGCTACTCGGGTCTGCCTACACCATCGGAATCATAATTAAGAGCTGCGTGGCTCCCTGTGGGTCGCTGTAGCGTGATTCCCAGCCGGGTATTTCACACTTTCACACAGATAATTAAAAACAGAAATAAATAAATGCTTTACGTTTCTGCCTAGACTGAAGCCCAATGCAGCAATACAAGGGGGTGGGGGCATGTATGTGAAATTAAAAGCAACTAAATGGTCACGACTCGAACGCCGCAAACTCACCAATATGATGCTAAGAGCCTAACACTGCTGCTTGGATCCACGCTTCCAGCTGCTAAATGCTAACATCATCCTATTTAGTATGCCACTGGCTCCTGCCATTACTGCTGGATGGCGCCCCATGTGGTGTAACAGGGTGTGACGCCCTGAGTGACCAGATGCCTCTGCAGGTCTGGTGGTGTTTTTATCAAAATGGGTAAAAAGAAAATCAAGTTGGCTTAGGGGGGCTGAGAAGGAGAGCATCTTGAAAATACCTGTATATCTTGTTAGATTAAGAGAGTTTCTCTTTGGTGGTATTCCCTGTCTCGGCCCCCGACTTCTCTCACCTGGTGCTGTGGTTCGCCTCAGCTCCCACCATCTCCCCCTGGAGGTACAGCTCACATCGGCCCCTGCCGTCTCCCCCTAGTGGTAGGGTCTGACTCAGCTCCCACCATCTCCCCCTGGTGGTACGGCTCAGTTTGGCCCCTTCCGTCTCTGTGCCTGTTGGTACGGCCCACCTCGGCCCCCTCCATCTCCCCCTGGTGGTACGGCTCACCTCGGCCCCCTCCATCTCCCCCTGGTGGTACGGCTCACCTCGGCCCCCTCCATCTCCCCCTGGTGGTACGGCTCACCTCAGCCCCCTCCATCCCCCTGGTGGTATGGTATGATATAAGAGGTTTTCTCAAGCTATTCACAGACTCACAACTCAGGGTTAATTTTCCTCTCAGCCTCAGCTGAACAGGGCCATTTATGGGGATCACAGCTGCCGGCTAGAGATCACAGCGCAGATCAGGGATCCCCTCCCACCGGAGCTGTTCAGGGGGGGCATCCCCCACACACAGGTCTGGATCTAGGTTTTTCCCAAACCCGCCATAGTCTCTCTCTGTGGTGGCATCACCGCTGTACCGGTGCTGTGTCATGCCAGTGCCCTAGAAGGGTGTCATTGTAAACATCACACTCCTTGACTTAATACGCTTTTGGTGGGAATCCTGCTGAAGACCAGAGACCCTGACATGGGGAGTGAATATTTCCTGTGTCACGTTGTCACAAGTGTGAAAACAGACACATGTGAATGTTCAGAAATACCCACACACTTGCTCCCAACGCGCCTACCGACCATGAGCCGCCCTCCTACCGACCGCGAGCCGCCCTCTTACCGACCGCGAGCCGCCCTCTTACCGACCGCGAGCCGCTCGTCTCCCCACCTTGAA